TTTATATCAGTCCATATGAGACATTATTAATTAATATTTTTTAGTACCTGTTTGAAATAAGGATTCGGGGAAAGCCTGAATATAAAAATGGAACCCTAAGCTAGGGCTGCGACTAACGATTATTTTGCAAATCAATAAATCTGTCAATTATTTTTTCGATTGATAATCGGATTGCCAAAGGTTTCTTGAAGGGGTCATAGAATGGAAACCGAGTTTACGGGGGGGGCTGCTGACTGGACTGGGCCGTGCATTCGAACAGAACTGTGAGCTCCGGGGCCACCGGTGTCCAGGCTACCGTCACCAGGTTAGGGCAGACAGCTCGGTTCTGCTGCACTGTTGTCGACCAAAATCGCAGACGATTTGGAAATTCCCACTGGAAATTTTTTTAGGTATCAGAAGTCACCCTACCATATCAACAATCTCAATGTTTCAGTGAGTGAGTGCTTGTTGCTATGATGCGTCTTTGCTCAGCAGCTTCGCTCGTTGTAAACCGACCAATCAGAGCACAGCTCATCTAAATATTCATAAGCAAAGAAAACCTGTTGTTTTATTCTGGGGCTTATAACCAGGCTGCATTAGGGCTCATAGAGCAGCAAATATGCCATTTTCAGACCAACCAATGTTACACACCCTATTCAGAGACCTTAAGGACCAGCACCAAATACCCTATATAATCAATCTATGACCCCTTTAAAGAAGACTTTTTATGGAATTAAAACAGGTGAAACTAAAACGTTTCTACTTGAATTCTAATTAGAGCATATTGACAGATGAAAAAGTTTTATCTTAAATGCAAAATGTTTATATTTTTTTTTACAATTTAGATATAATCAGTGCTCTAAGTGGGTCACTCTTACGGCTAAAGGCAGGTTTAACAGTCTCTATAGTCCAGTTAAGGATTTATCGATTGCTAAATTAGTTGACGATTTTTTTTCAATAAATCAATCAATCAATCACCATTAATCTGATTCATTTTTCAGCCCTACCCCAACCATATTTTAACATAACCTTTAAAAATAGGTCAGCCCTGCTGCCAACTTGCTTCACTTGGCTGTAAGAGTTTGAGTGGCTGAATCTTTTATACTGATATTGATCAGTTGTCAATCAGGATATATTGATATTGATTTATTGCCCAAACCCTGGGTGATGGTAATACCCAGAGTAAACCACACACAAGGGAAACAACTCTTCTACAATTATGTGTAATAAAGTGTAATAACAGAGGCAGTAGTTATTTAAAACTACTAGTGATATTGATGAAAAGCAGAGAAGGCATTTTACTGCTTACTTTCAGTGATGTGAATGTCTACATTATGGAGAAACGAATCAAATCAATCACTCAGGTATTACTCTGTCTCAAAAACTCTACAGTTCAAGGAATTCTGCATTGCTTCTTTTATGTCATTTTATAATCAGTATTTTCATTGGTTTTCAATTGTCACTCTGGCAGCATTTACTTCCATTTATTTAAATGTTCAATTGTGTCCAGAGAAAATGTTTTTGAAAACTATCTTTGTTCCACCTTTAAATTATTGTCAAGGAGTATCTGTGCATGTACCATAAATCTGAATATATGACCTTTTAAACATTTGGTGTTAGGTTGGTGAAGCGACCATAAAGGCACTGGATCACCTTTCAAAGCACCATCATATCACAACCCTGACAGAATGAATGGAGGACAAAGTTTAAAAAAAAAAAAAACTCACAGTATTTTCCACCAATTGGACTGAAACTTATTTCACATCATCAAAAGAAAAAAAAAAATTTGGCTTCATAGCATTCTTGTCTTAAGGGCGTCAATATGTTTAAGATGAATTCTCCACTATTCCACTTTACTACACAGAACTTCATTCACAAACTAATTTTTGCATTTCCTGTATCATCTCAAAAGCCCCATCAGACATATTTACTGAAAAAGCCACTGATATGTTTAATACTTTTTCCATCCAGTGCATTTATTTGAACAGATCTGCTATTAGGTTTGCTATTGCTCATATATTAATAGTGGATAGACCTTCAAAATAGAGTAATCTCCAAATATATCTCACAAATGTATTTCAAAACGGTTAAGATTATATTGGTTGCAGTTCACTGATTTTCTATTCACTGTGCAAATCTCTACAAGGGTGGCAGTTCTTGCTGCTTCATTCAAACTGTATCTATATTATTATCTTCATATCATTTCAATTACATAGGATATTATTTCATTTAAGTGTTTGATATATAAGTTAGGTCCCCCTGAAGGCGGCTGCGCCTTGGAAACTTCCCTACCGGTTCTTTACCAGGAAGCAAGTTATTTACTACTCTTAACTCAAACTGGGTAAAACCATCTAAAAAAGGACTATAAAACAGGAGTTAAAAAGTATCAGCGTTTATTCCAGGTCAGGTCGTTACAGGACAGAGAAATAGCTTAGGGTTGGCACAGCTGTGGGCTCAAAAAACGTCAGCGAGCGTCTGGAAAGGATTGAGCAAAGATTGAGCACCGAACAAGGTCATCTCCTCCTTCTTATACCTCATGAATCCATGTTTTGCATCAGGTGGATGCTTAGCTGTCCGTATCAGAAACTGACACACCATCCATGCTTTGAACTTCATGCATCTTGCCTCTTTACCCCAGGATTACACATAGCTCTCCTTTATCAGTCCGGCTCCAAGATGTGCCCATATCCTGTGTATTTTTAAAGACACGAAGGCTGTCCTGATTAGATGGCCTCCGTACACACAGTGACATCCACCATGTAAAGGAAGGCCTTCTACTCTGTCTAATCTGGCTAACAAAGTAACAATGCACATGATGTATAAAGAATAAGCCTGACAAAAGCCATATAGCCACAAGGCTGTTGGTAGGGCACTCACCTATATTTAGCTTTTAAGTTGAAAGCAGCAGCATATTTCTTATTAAATATAATCTTATTAAATGATTTTCATACTCTGTTTAGTTTGGGATTTTTTTAATAATAAAATAAACCTAAGAAAACAAGCAACAGTTTAATCCCCTTTCTTCACCCACCGACTTACAAAATTAAGAGGCAAAGAAAAAAAATGTATTTCTTGTCACAGAGGTTAATTCAATTATCATTACCGGTACATAATTTTCTATGTAATCCTTCATGGATATATGTACATTTTTCATTCTTTTTTTTTTATTATTACATATTAGTTTTAGTATTGTATCCTAAATAGACCAACATCTACAGCAGGAAACCACCTTGAAGTCAAATGTAACATCTATATTTCATTAATAACTTAGTCCTTATCAGCTATTTTAAATAAACTATAATTGAGTTGGCTTCAAATTAAAAGAAAACTAATTAATTTAAATGCAAATAATAAAAGTGTTCAAAGTTTCACTCCTACTCTTTCTGGGACTAAAGTATTTCACTGCATAAGTGTTAACTCATTTTATGTAATAGTGCATTTTTATTGTTCTGTGGTTACACAAGCTTTCTACAGCATGATTCTAGGTGAGCATTTTATATAATAATGTTGCCATATCCACTTTACCCAACAGGGCGTTACTGCGAAAACTATTTAAGCAAATATCTTGCTGTCAACAAGTATGTCTGCAAAACAAGCCTAAAACTTTGCTTTATTTACCGTTTATGCAAAACCAAACATCAGCTGTAATATATAAACCACACAGCTACAGCTAATTAAATGTAGCCAGTGTATGTCATGTCAGCTTTTTTATTATTTGTGACTAATACACTCCAGCTTGATGAAAGGAACTTGCAGCAAAACAGTCTGAATGATTTGTTTTTCTAAATTAAATACAGCGTGATTCAAAACATCATCTCTATACTTGAAATTTTAAGACAGTTTACAGATGGCACAATAAAGCCAAAGAAGATATGCAATGATTAAATGAGGAGAAAACAATAGTCAAGCATTATGGTTGAGTGCATTTTTACATATTTTATTTTCTTAAAAGAGAGCAAGGCTGCAACTAACGATTATTTTGCAAATCGATTAATCTGTCCATTATTTTTTCAATGAATCGATTAATAATCGGAGAGCAAAATAAGTTTTTTTTTTTTTTACAATTTTAAACCAAATGAAACAAAGTTTTGGATAGAGGATATTGACAGGGGAAAAGATGTTTTTTTTCTTTATCTTAAATGCAAAATCTTTATATAATTTTAATATAATTATTGTTCTAAGTGGGTCACTCTGTCAAAGGCATGTTTTATACTTAGCTAATGATTAATCGATTACAAATTTAGTTGATGATTATTTCAATAATCGATTAATCATGATTAATCAGATTAGTTGTTTCCGCCCTAAAAAGTTTATTAAACAAAGAATAAAGAATCACACACATTTATCACATACTACATTTACTCTACAATTTTAAAAGTCAACAAGTATTCAATTCATATAATACTTCATTCCATGTTTATAATAACCTTATCAATAACACTAAAATAATAAAACATATATACTTGTTAATATTAAAATATCACATTAGCAATAGTTTTAAAAAGTCCATGTCATCGAGTTTTAGAGTATAAATGAGAATTAAATAAGGCTGAGATAAAATAACTTAACATTTTTAATACAACGCTTTATTCGGACTTGTGTATCAAATGTGAAGCGAAAATGCAAAAACATAAAAATAAAAACAAAGAATTTGAAAATAAGTCCATTATCAAAAGGAAGAGCCCCTTTTCAGAACAAAATGGCATCATCGCCATCTAGTGGCCAACTTTGTGAATTACACTATACAGTACAGCATCGATTATAGAAATTATAAACTGAATTTTATTCAGGGTCTCTTTTATCCATTCATTTATTTAATAAATAATGAACAAAACTGACTGTATTTTACCCATTAAAGACCTTATTATTTATGATAAACACATTTCAGTATCTTTTATATTATTTTTTTATTCAAAACGTTGAATAAAAATAACCATTGCCATCTAAGGAGATGCATTTATTTTCCCATTCTTGTATAGCTTAAAGAAGAGATTACCATAGTTACCTAGGTAAATGCTTACCTTTTTAGGGACGTCATAAAACACTCCAAGGCATGAGACCCCAAGTCCAACACAGCGAGCCTCCTTAAAAAGTTTCCTGCTATCGCCGTATGATCCTTCATTGAATTTATAAGCGAAAGTTAGCTTTTTGAATGTAGGACAGCCGGTTTGCACTATGATGTCCGTCAGGAGACCTGTATAAACAATAAAACCTGCTAATATTAGAATGAGGAGAGCCAGGAGGAGCGCCGCACACACACTAAAGCAGTCAGGCATGTTAGCTCTCCTGCAGAGCAGGGACCGCTAGCTGCTGTCAAACTGTGTGGGATTCTTTCAAGAAGCTGCCATGTGTCAAAAATGATGTGGTTTTATCAAAGAATAAAAACATTTATCCTACTCATCGTGCGTTTGTTTCACAAAGACACGACAAACTACAGGATTACACATTGCACGGGACTTCCTGGAAAATACCATTTATGCCGACAAATAGGGGTGAAGGACGTTACTATTTCTTTAAGTTTAACTTTGATTCTTCTCCCCTCCATAATGTCCTCCTGCTGTTTACTTTTACTAAATTTAATACATTTTAAAACCGCTTCTGCTTCATCTAATATCTGACAGCTCAATAATATAAAGTAGTCACTATATATTTTCCGTTTTACTTGACCCTCTTATGAGACTCCCAAAAACTATAATGTCAGAAAACTCACTAATCATTCGGTTCTAATTAGTTCAAAAAAAAACTTTAAAAGTAGCTAGTAGATTTTGTAAATAAAAAAGTTAGGAAACAGGATTTTAAGACTTTAAGGTACCCAAGCCACTATATTCAACATCCAATGCTGTTTCTTTAAGATTATTCAAAAGTAGGAACACAACTAACATCACTTTAAGTTATAACTGTATTAAACCATTGTATCAATGAATGTTTTTGCCCTTTTGCAGGGCTGCCAACTTTTCACCAAACCTTGGGGTGAGATTTTGAAATAGATTGGACCTGTCCTCATCTAACTGTCAGGGTTAGATGAGGACAGGTGCAGCTATAGGTTGGAGGTTTTCAGAGGATTTAACTGAAACAAAGTGGCAAAATTTGGAATTTTTATAGCACAGTAAATGTTACTGAGTAACAATAAGCAGTCTGTAGTTATGTGGAAAATTTTTCTCACAATACACATTATTTTCTACATTCTGGTGATTTTTGGAGAATTGAAGTACAGCAGAATGGGCCCTACTAAAATACCTGCATCTTAAATATACTTTAAACTAAGAATTTTACAACTTTGTTCATTAATTATTCTCTGCATATATAAGACTCAAACTCACTGCGGATCCAGACATTTGAATTGAGAAAGCTTCCTGGAGAGGTGGCGAAACGTCTTCAAATCTTGAAAACCAAGTCCAGTGGATATTTTTTTTAATTTTTACGGAATGACTATGACCTGGATGACTGAGAACCTTCATCAGCATATTCTCTGCATCCTCTTCAGGAACCAGTGTGATAGAAACCTATGCAAACTTCACTGAGTATGAATATTTAGTAATAGGCTAAGGATTATAAATTTTAAGTTATTATCTTATTCTTTTTTTTTTTTTTTACAACTGAGAAACAGCTAAACAATTCAGACATTCTAGGAGGCTGTAGATTCAATAAAAACTCACCATGACAGGAGACAGCACTTCCCTGGATTCTTTCAGTTTGGAGGGTGTGATGGAAATTAAGTTTTTAAACATATTCAATGGACCAAATTAAAGATAAATGAGCATGATAAGTAATAATAAAAGAAGACATTCCTGTGGTTTCTCCTCTATGAATCCAAGATAACTGATTTGTTCTGCACATCCTCTCTGTTTGTGGTTGGTCATTTCTTGGGTGGCTGATCTTTTGAAAAATTAAACCTCCTATGGTTTTGAGAGGCAAACCTAAAAGCTTTAAGAATTAAAATATTTGTGTTGATTTAATTACTCTTAAATTACAGCGGGAAATGATCAAACTAGACTGAGTTGAGTTTTAATGTCTGTCATTTTTTAGTGTGAGAAATTGGGAATATGGACTGAGAGTGTTTTAAGACACTGAGATGGGTGAGTCTCACTCCCAATGGATGAGAGTTGACAGCCCAGGCCTTTTGCCCTTTGAAATTCTTGTAGTTTTTGCTGATCCTTACCTGAAAAAAGTATGCAAAATTGTATTTGTAGTGCATCTTCACACATGAGCTCCACTGACATCTCATTCTTAACCCATAACTTGCAATGCTTTAGGCACACAGCTGTATATCATTACTTAATATATTTATACAGTACTTTATACAAAATAAGTTGCATCAAGGTTCTGTACAGCAAGAACAATAAAACAATAATCGACAGGGATATGAACATCCGTAATAGTATCAATTCTTTTACAGAAACTGTATTGAAGGAAAGTTTATAATTTAAATTTTAACAAAAAGTTTAAGAAGGAAACTTATTATGGAAACCTATTTCATAAGTATATTTCACGAATCTCTATTCACTGACTTTGAAATAGCATAAAGGCGAGATGAGATTTTAAATTTCATTTGGGATCTGTACACCCCAGAGAGCTATCCACCCAAATGTTTATGTGGACTATTATTTCCTTCCTGAGCTGCCTTCATTCCTAATCACATTTTAACACAACTTATAGTTGACAGCTGAATATTTAGGTCAATGTTCACAATTTGACCTCTGGCCTTCAGACAGCAGCTATGTTCAAATAGTATGGTTAAAATGGTAAAACTTCAGTTGTTTATGATAAGCTATACTAAGCCTTCAAGTATGCATTCGTCATTTTTGTTATATCATGTATTTAGTATCATTATTATAAAACAAAGACGAAGACTGCTCTCTCACCCACCCCTCACCTCCTGGGAAGGGTTCTTGGGAACTTGAATATTCTTCAACAGTACCTTAGCTGTCCCAGGAACTGTACAGTTCTGGACTGAGATGTCTCATATTTCTCCAGTTATCTATTAAAGCCTTTGCTCCAGTGTGGGGCTTACTGCTCTCTGTCCCCTAATGACCAAAGTTCCTACAGTTACCTTCACCTTCAAGGCTCTTTCTAGTTCTTCCCTGAGCTCTTGGTATTTATCTGTTTTTTTGTGCCTTTTTTTTTCTTTTCTAACAGTTCCATAATTTTTGGAGCTAGAAGAGTCTCAATGTTAAAAAACTCATATATTTGATCCACACATGCACAGGACAATCCACACAGTTACCAAAAATGCACAGGATAAGATTCAAACGTTGAGACTCTTCTAGCTCCATAATCATTTGAGATGGTCATTTGATCAAGTATTTCATTTCTTTTTTCAAAATGTTAGTTTTTTTTTAAGTTTACTTAGTCTCACTTAAGTGTGTTTGTGCACTTGTATATTTTACCTATTACCTATTTAGGACCGCCTTTGGAATATTTGCTGACCTTCTGAGGACCAAATGGCCTTATGGGGACCAAAAGCTGGTCCTAATGTGGCAGATCCCCATTTTTTACCCAAGAGTTAGTTTAGAGTTAAGGTTAGGGTCAGGAAAATACTGATAATGGTTAGGGTTAAGATTGCATTTTGTATACGTGTGTGTGAGTGTGTGTGTGTCTGTGTGTTATATTTTGTTTCCGAGGGGGCGTTCCCCGAACGCAGCATTGAACTTGGAGATCTCCTCCCTCAAAGTTTCGGTTGGAGAGAACAGGATAAGACTTGTTGACAAGAGACAGGAGAGTTCACAGCGTCTCTAACCTAAAAAATCCAAAAAATGTCTGGTAATATTAAAACATTTTACAACTTCACAGCTAAGCTTCTTTCCGGTGAACCTTTCAGTTTCTCCTCGCTGAAGGGGAAAGTTGTTCTCATTGAGAATGTAGCGTCTCTCTGAGGAACAACAGTCAGGGACTACACGCAGATGAATGAGCTTCACTCCAGATACTCTGCAGAGGGACTCGTTATCCTGGGTGTGCCCTGCAATCAGTTTGGACATCAGGTAAGTTATGTTTCCATTTTTAAATATATCAATAGTCCTTTAAAAGCACTGCATGCAAAATGTTCTATTTTTTAAATATACTCAAGGCAGCCAATTGTGCATTTTAGGATCTTAATGGGGTAATATACATATTCATGTTCCTTAAAAGCTTGCAAATTTGCCTTCATTACTCTATGAAGCTAACAATGTTTTGCTTCGAAACTATCATTATTGGTAATGCAAGTAAAACACGTTCTGTTTTTTTGTGATGCTTTTCAATCATCAGTAACTGTGCCCATGTTTATCCATAACAGGAGAATGGCAAGAATGATGAAATCCTAAGATCCTTGAAGTACGTCCGTCCAGGGAATGGTTTTGAACCATACTTCCAGCTCCTTGAAAAGGTGGATGTGAATGGAAAGGATGCCCACCCCCTGTATGTCTATCTGAAAGAGAAGCTCCCTGTCCCCAGCGACGATGCTGTGTCCCTAATGAATGATCCAAAGTTCCTGATCTGGAGCCCTGTGTGCAGGAGTGACATTTCTTGGAACTTTGAGAAGTTCCTGATCGGTGCTGATGGGGAGCCTTATAAGCGCTACAGCAGAAACTTCCTCACTATTGATCTTGAGGAAGACATTAAAAAGCTTCTCAAGAGAAACAAGTAAAATGTGCTATGACACTCAGCAGCTTGTTGCTGAAGATATCGGCTGTGATCCCTCCAACTTAGAAAGGCTTATCAGTAGACACACCTAGGAGGGGTATTTTATCGAGCTTCCCAGCTCACAGTTTTACCTAAACAGCCTTTTTTTTAAGATTGTAATATTTTCAGTGGTAAACACTCGGTTCCTAAACCCATTTACTTAATGATGAAACTCCTGGAAACCAATTTGTGTAGGGAGTTTCTGAAGCACATGTAAATGTTTGACTATACCACTGTCTATTCTACAATATAAAGAAAAAGAGAAAATGCACATTTTATGTAAATTAAAATGCCTTTTATGCAATTCTGAATATTGTGATCAATGCAGATAATTTGTTTGTTAAAAGTGAAGTGTTGGGAAGAGGCCTCATAGAAGGTATCAAACTCGACTGGATATTCAAGTCAATGAACATAGCTTTTGGGAGTTTGTTTGTTTTTTTTTTCCATTTGAAACTGTTATTTATCAGAATAGGATCTAGATAGAGGCTGTACATAAGGAACAGTTATTAGTATGAAATAAGCTATCTTTAAAAGCAACTAAAACTTTCTGGGTTGTGATTTCCTCCTGCTTTATAAATTACAAATTATATATTTAGATTAGGGTGAGACTTTATGTCCAAATTTCAGAGAATAATACTCATTCAGTTTTATATCAGTGACTAAACTGCAGAAAACATTCATTAGGCTCTTACGCTGTATTAGTATAATTAATTCATTCAAGTTAGAAGTGCTGGAATAAATGTTATCAAGAGACAGAAATTAAAGTAAATGAAGTTTTTGTTAAGTCTTGGAATTCTAAGTCATTAGAACCCAACAAATCGATATGAACAACTTGAAAGTTTTAGAAAGCTTTACAAAAAGCAGAGAAACATTGTGACGACAGTCACCAGGTCACAAAGCTCAAGTTACCACTTTCTGAAACTTCATTCATGTTGGATATTGACAAAAATATAAGTATAAAGCATAAGTTTAGAAAGTATACCAAGCAATGTACTTTTAGTGTACTTGAAGTATTACTCTTCTAACTATACTATTGTTAAGTATGTAAAATATAATTTAGAATAAGTAAACTCTAAGTGCACTGCCTGATTTTAAGTATGAAATTAGTGCACTTTTAGTATACTTGAATACACTACTTTTTGCTAAGGGTTGTAAAGCAAGTTTTACCTAATAAATGGATGGTGAAAAGGCAAAATATAGGGTTTGTGTTTGGTAGTTAAAATAAGAAAGTTCTTGCTTTGTGATTTATGTGTAATATAAGACATTTGTTAGCAAGGTCTCTCAATTACTTATGTTTTATCGTTTTATTAAAAGCAATTTAAGGCACGCTAAGCACGAGGAGCAGGAATATCCTGTATTATTAACCAGTTTGGGTTTCGTGAAAAGGTCCCTATGAGTGATACTTCCTGCAGAACGGCTGCATCTCATCCAACATGGCTGGCCAGGAAGACCCCGTACAGCGAGAGATTCATCAAGATTGGGCGAATCGAGAGTATATAGAAGTGATTACAAGCAGCATTAAGAAAATTGCTGACTTCCTAAACTCGTTTGGTAAGATTCCAGCAACCAAGTCCTTAATATGATCACCTAAGTGTAGAGAAATCGATCGGAAAGACCAGAATAGCTAGTGGAATTAGCTTAGTAGCTACTGCTAGCTATGATGTTGATGTTTATAATGGCCGCTCCCAGCTAGCTGTTAGCTTCCAGCTTCCTCTATTCTTGAAGCATTCTGAGCGGATGTTTTTAGATACCTGTTGTGTATGACAGGTTCAAAACTAGAATAGTTTAAAAAACAATAGCTTGGTAATTGAAAAAGTTAAATGTTTTTTTCAAAAAAAAAAAGGCATATGTAGTTTTTTATTCGGTCCTGTTTACTGAGCAAACAGCTGTTAGCGAAAACTAGCTCAGGCCTTATGAATACAGAAATGTTCGTAAGTCCGAAAGGTTATGCCTGTATTATTAAGCAATGATCATCGCAATTTTAGGCATATTCGGTTAAATTATAACATAATAAGTGATTGTTACTCGTTTCAGTGAATTACATCGCTCTCAAATGAATAAAAGGGGCTTATACGATATTTTCCGCAACTTCTTAATTCGGATCAGGCACGTAGATCCCAATGATTTTGTTTATTATCAAAGCTGAGATCAAGAAATAAAAAAAAAAAGAAATTACAAGGCATCCAATAACCCAATAAAAAGGTGTCAAAGATGAGAAAAAAAGAGCGTTATAGGTCATTCATCCCTGCTGCCATCAGACTTTACACTGCGACACTCTCAAATGCAACAACTTGTGCAATAACTAATGTTCAATTACTATTTAATACCCTGTTCAATAATCATGTTAAATGAGAGACTTCAGCTGTTTTAGTTTTCTCACTACCTCACTGTTGTTCTTTATCTGGTACCACTTTAATGTAAAATGCCAAATCTATATGTGTATAAGTCACCTTAAATATACACAAGTCTCCTTAAATCTCTGCCTTATTTCTTTTTTCTCAATCCACTGAATATATGTGGACGCACTGTATATACTCCATGCACCTTTTCCTCCTTTTGGCACCTTTTTACTATTGAGCCAATATAATTAACAAGATCAATAAACTCTATCTTATATTATTTTATGTAAAACATGTTTTAAATTGTGAACACGAGTATAATTTCATAATACAGTGGTCAAGTTAGTATTGATATTTATCAAATTGCGATGGAGGAACTCAAGAGAAAGATCGTCCTATGAATCAACCAGTTATTCTTTGTCACAAACTAACTGTAATTAAATTATGAACAGACATCAGCTCAGATTGCATATAAAATATGCAGACAAAAATTAAGAACGCTTATATAGAATTGAAAAATTTGTATTCTTAGAGGAGACCTCCAAAAAACACAAAGCTCTCTCAGGAGAAAAACACAATGTACTTAATATTTAACACCCTTTTAACTTGTAAAATAGAAACACATGTGAAAGATGTAAAAATTGAAAGATAGTATAGAAACCTAGCAAGTACAAGTTACATAAATAAAAAATAGCTTTAAAGCATCACAAGATGGTACCCAACCCAGTGATTTTTAAAGGCACACTATGACATACCCAGTTTGACTAAATTTAACATGGGTATGATGGACTGGATTGTGACAAAAACAGATTATTAAAAGTGAATATTCAGATTCAAATAGATGCAATTTGAATCAGTTACTCTGAGGAAACAGTCTCTAAATGCTGCAGCATGCAATAACTGTGGCCCCATTATAGACTTATTTTTGTGGAAGTCTCTATTCCTTTCTTTACATATTTACATACCAATGTTTTGTCACTTTGTTACGGTGCTGTGCCAGGTTTTACAAATTGGCATGTTTAAAAAAAAAAAGTACTTTGTGCAAAATATAATAATGCAACTGAACTCTAACCCACAGATATGTCTTGCCGGTCTCGTCTGGCCACCCTCAACGAGAAATTAACAGCATTGGAGAGAAGGATTGAATACATAGAGGCCAGAGTAAGTGTAGGAATCACAGTAACTTTGTGCTTGGCAGACACTTTAAATGATCTAACCATCAAACTTAACTGTATCTTGATACAGGTGACCAAAGGAGAGACTCTGACCTAGATGATGGGAATTCCCAACATGCTCTTCAAACTACTTCCCCACCCTCCACCTCCACCCTGAAGGTTTTGGACTTAAATGTGCTGAGCTGCACTGTCCTTTTTGGAGGATCATGTGGACCATTTTTGATATTATATGGCTGAATTTTGTGTTGTTTTTATCTCATGACACATGCGCATTCTGTTTATGGGTCAAGCATCATCATTGCTTTTAAAATTGAGCTCAATTAAGTATTGAGTTAAAAAAATCCCAGGGCTTCATGATGTTTTTCACTGTAAACATTTTGTATGCAGCGTCATTACCTATTCAGAGATTATTGGAAAAGGAAACAAAACGGGGAAACATTCATGTGTGCCAAGTTGAACAAATAATTGTGTGGTCACCTTTATTGAAAACCTGCCTGTACATTAACTGTTGTAAGTGTTGATGGAAAATTTAAATACTGTAATAAATTATAAACAGTTGCTTTGTTTCATCTTTGCATAACCCTATACAGCCGTCTATCAGGAATATAGTTGTTGAATAGATCAAAGATGCTGAGGTAAGAATACAAGGGGGCACATCACAAAATCCTAGCTATACAAGGCTTACATCTGATAGGCAAATGCTGTGTGCAGCAATGACTGCTGTCCTTAAAATGTCCAGTGCCTTATTGCCATTTAAAGCTGTAGATAACTTGCATTCAAGCGAGACCTTGCAGGCTTTGTGTTGATGCCAAGTCCAAAATTCCTTTAGAGTTTTATTGTATAGTAAAATACATAATTTAAGCTAATTATTTTGTATTTGGCATACATTGTGGAAAGTTTTTGTGTGAAACTTACGTTAGGAAACGTTCTTCATTTACCAAATGGTTGTGACCTTATGTTTTTTTCTTGCTTTTTGATTAGGGATGGGCATTTATCATATAATTTGTTAGCGATACATTTCTAGTAATAACAATTTTCATTTATCAACTTAACTGATTTTTTTTTTTTTTTTTTTAGAACTAGTGATGATAAAACTCAAACTGGGTGGAATGTGATGGGAGTTTTATTCGATTGGGGCATTGAGATATTTAAAGCATATGATTAAACCCAGTTTCTTATTTATGCATCATACTTATTATGTAACTAGTGTCTTGAAGAAGCCTATTTTATGAGAATTTGATCAAGAATAAAGTTTGTGATAGGAGGCCTAATTGCTGTGGCATAAAGTTGAAGCTATACAGTTAACAACTTAAAATAATTACGGTGTGTTTTTATTATTACAGAAGTACCAAGAAATATTGTGATAAAATATCTAGTAATGACTATCATTCATTGTGTTTAGTTTATTACATTTTTCAACGCAGAAGTAAAATGTAAGGCATATTCTGGTCTGAGACCACAACGAATTGAGTAGTTTTAAATCCACAATAATGAAGATGGATTAAAGGTAATCCAGAAAAAAAAACTGTGTTTTGTAAAACTACTGATCTTCAGACTGTATCTGGTCTAAAACCACATTCCATTCCATGGAGTCTAGTTTAAATACCGTAATTGTTCAATTAGGGACACAATTATTCTGTGGCATATTTTGGAAAACCTGGAATATGAAATATAAATTCTTTATTTGATCATTGGAAACTCTATTCGAATACATTTCTAGCTGGATACCTAATATCCCATATTCTCTTCACAACAATCAACTTCAAATTGAAACGACACGGAACTGTAACACATTTAATGATTGTCTAGAAGATGTATTGAAAACGCTTACAAACATTTTCTAATGTTACGTGTTGATAAAAGCTCACTCAAAATGGCGCCTGTCATTATATATTTTTTTTCTCTCGGTTGTGACTTACAGGCACAACCTTAGACCCACCCCACTAAGACAAATTGATTGCTTGATGATGAAACACACACATCCAGCTCCTGAAACTATTTGTAATTTTGTAAAAAAAAAAAAAAATTTAAAACACAACGTCCTATACAAAGTTGCAGGATTATTTTTAAAAGTCATTTGTGGGACAATGGATGCCTGTTAGGCTATATGCGGAGAATAATTAACCCTACTGTCGTCGCCTCTGCCGCAATGCATTTTGGGATAAAGAAGGTTCCATCGACGTCCGCGTCGTCGGCTGCCCTTCGACGTTAAAGGAGTTCTATTTCTTTTAATTTTCGAAATAGTTCTATCGAAAAATAAGATTAAAAAAAATAATAAAGCGCTGTAAAGTAATTTACACCGGTAAGTTTGACATCGTAACCGTGTGTTATTTTATTTTTGGGTGGCGTCGTTGTCATTTGCCCTTTCTCCTGGCTAAGAGTTGGGCTCCATGTTATGTTGAAACCTATTTTCCCTGTTTACAGGGCTTTAACTTGATTTGTAGGTGTTTGGGAATTACTTTGTAATAATGTTAATTAATAGGCAAACTGCTGGATTAAAAAATTATCTGATGGTTTCTGTTTTTTAGGGTTTTAGAGAGTGACGAGTTCCAGAAGGAAATGGGTGCTGATAAACGGTAAGCTTGAACAAACATTAATTCGAAGTTATTGTAACGCAAGATGGCATCTAGCATGTTTTCTCGAACCTAGAGAACTGTTAACGACAAACTCTGTTGTAAAATGGTGCATTAGCGGCACTGTCCTTGAAATGAATAATTAATCAAGAATAAGTGCAGTTTTTAGGATTTTAACATGACCTGCCAAAATCTATTTCCTTTCAGCATTCCAAGTGAACTTATTTTGCACATCCGCTTTAGCTAGCGCGCTATTAATGTCAAAGCTATATTATGCAAATAGTTAAATATTCGATTAAAGTAATTCAAAAAACGGCAAAACTGTGTGCACAATGAGTTTTACAGATGGATAATATTAGCTACTGCCTTAAAGCAATGAGAAACATGGAGATTTTTTCCCCTGAGCTGTAAACATTGCATAACCACTTTCATAATTGACCTTTATCAGATAACAATAAGTTGGAGTCATACTAGACGAAGTTGCACAAATCTACTTTATGTTCCATCTAACTGATGTAGCATAAAATATTTTTATCTAAAATTAAAGGATATAAAGAGGGAGGGACAAGCAATATATGATGAAAAGTCACCCTCACTTGTTTCTAACTAGATCAAGTGGTTTATTTATATATATTATATTGTAAATTGCCTAAGGCTAATGTTGGTAAATGAACAATAATGTATTGTTGCAATGTGTATTACCAGTATTGAGTTATATAGACATTACTGACAAAATTTTGAGGGGTTTAACAACAGTAAACAGTGTTGATGGTGTTTTTATTATTGATTTTTGTGTTTTTATTATATACATGATACAATAATAAAGTTTCTTTTGTGTTCTGTCTCAAAAGGATCAGTAGGACCGAGCGTAGTGGTAGATATGGTTCCGAGCATTACCGCGATGATCCGGACTGGCGAGACAGACGTGACAGAGACCAAGACCGTGATCACAGCTCAAGGCGTTGGAGTGAGGAGAGGCGTGATCGTTATGATGGAGACCGCAGGGGACCACGAGACAGCCCAGAGGTAACTGTTCAAATATTCACGATTTTTGATTTTATTTTGTTATCTGATATTAATCTTTACTGTGTTTTTGTTGTTGTTTTTTAAGCAAAGGGAAAGAAAACGACGGAACAGTGATCGATCGGAAGATGGTTATCACTCAGACGGTGACTACCAAGAGCAGGATTACAGACGGGAGCCGGGGGATGATAAGAAGAGCAAGACCATCATGCTTGGGGGATTGTCTTCTCAAACCACAGAGGAGGATGTAAATATTTTTGGATTATGTGCTTTTCTCATTTAGTTTATGTTGGTAAATTAATTATTTTAAATACTGCTTATCCTGATATATAAAGTCTACTTTTGTTTGTGTGTATTAGATTCGTTTTGCCATTGACCAACTGGAGGGCCCCCAGCCAGTAGATGTGAGACTGATGAAAAAGAGAACAGGTGAGAACCAACTGAACCCTGGACCCTCAACTCCCCTCCCTCAGGCTTTGAGCATAGGGCCAATCTGCTTCCATTCAGACCCATTTTCCCATAGCTCATAGGAAACAATCAGATGTAAACTTTGGTGCAAAACATAATGTTTCAGTTCTTTGTGGATCTGTTCAAGGTAAGTAAGAACAACATTAATAGTTATTCAGGAGTCAGATGCCTGTCCCACTGTAAGAGTGTGGTATTTGGCAGGATTTTCTTGCTATGGTAAAACTCCTAAGGGATGGCCTATTGTGTACCAAACTTGGCCTGGGTCGTGAAGCAGTTTGTGGAAGACTTTGAATAATATGCCCATGGACTCTTAACTAACACACCTCCCGTCTATATTTGAATGCTGTCTCTAGGTATAAGCCGTGGTTTCGCCTTCGTGGACTTTTATCACTTGCAAGATGCTACCAGATGGATGGAGACCAATCAGGTTGCTTCACAATCGCCAAGTCTAGTTTTAATCTTGGGGATCTGGAGAAATGGCTGAAGGCAACCAGAATGTGTTCAAAATGAAGTGTGGAAACTGTAGAAAAAAAACTTCTTAAAATGAATACCAAACATCTAAACTATTTGACTTGAAAATAACTACAGATGTCTAGATGATTTTGATCTGGAATCTTCTTACATTAACAAAGTTAAGTTAATGCAAGAAGGTTAATTAAACTATTAGCATTGATACTTAAAAGCAGATTTAACACATTTTGTGAGCTCTCTATTTAAGACTATGAGCGCACTCTTTTCTTTTTGCAATTTTCAATGTCCTTTGAATGAATTGTAACTTATGGCCCTAGCCTTCAGTAGAATGGAATTTTAAATGTTTTCCTCTTTTTATTTAATTTTTTTAATAGAAAAGCCCATATCTTTATTTTCTTCTCTAAGCAGTCAGCTGTGTCCATTAGGATCACATTATACACTCTGCTCCAGCCTAGTCTGGGCACGCGGGTCCCAAACACCTAAAGAAACCTCTTCACATCATTCTCACTTATACATCCTGTGCCTGTCTTTAACTCAAAGGCTGTCTGTTGGGGGTCCCTCTCCCCATTCTCTCCCTTCCAATACTGCTTGCCCCAAATGATTAGATGTTTGCTCACCATGAACTCTTGATTGATTTTTCTCTCCTCTTTCAGAAGCGTCTGGTCATCCAAGGCAAAGTGGTTGACATGCACTACAGTCATCCCAGAAACAAGTATGAAGACTGGCTCTGCAACACTGTAAGTAAATCCCTCATTGTAATGAAAACATTAAACTTAAACATTAGCCAGATGTTTGCCTTGCAAGCTACATTTTCTATAGTCTTTTCTGCATTGTTGTATGTATTAAAGGTGAAGTGTTCTCAGGTTGATTTGGCATCAAAGTAGACTTCCTTTTCTCAGCGGGAGCACAGTTCTGGGCTGTAGTAGCTGTTTAATAAAAATAATTTAAACGGTTACTTGCAGTGTGGCCTGTACAATTTCCGGAGGCGGTTGAAGTGCTTCAGGTGTGGAGCAGCCAAAGCTGGTAAGTAGTTGAATCAGCAAGAGGCCGACCACTGCAGACATCCGAACAGCCTGGGCTTAAAGTGCTGAACATCTTCTCTTATTGTAGCTGTGATACCCTGAAAGGATTTAGACTAAATTAGTTTTCATCAAGGTTTAGTGAATGAAAATCTGATGTCTTTTTGTTTTTGGGTAATATTCCTAAAGTTTGGTAATGCTAAATATTTAATATAAGTTGCCTTATTTTTTACACTCTCTTACTGTTTAGATTTATAGAGGTGGAGAATCTTGGGTTTAGTCTGTTTCATTACTGGATATTTGAAATTAGTTTTTCTAGGATATGTTAAAGTTTTATTTCTATGACTCCGTTAACAGATGGTGAGATGGGTAACGCCACTGGGGCCACTGAACTTCAACCCACTGGAGATTTTTATGGAGACAGTAAGAGCTCTCTATACATGCAATAGCTCTAATGTCCATGCAAGGCCATTCCTAATGCGACTCCTATCTTCCCTTTAAAGCAATCATCCTGAGAAACATTGCCCCTCAGACCACAGTGGAAGCCATTTTGACAGCACTGGCACCGTACGCTAATCTTTCGGCCAACAACATTCGTCTTATTAAGGACAAACAAACAGGCCAGAACAGAGGTTTTGCTTTTGTGCAGCTCTCTTCCCCTCTGGTAAAGCAACATTAAATAAATACACTCTAGTCATTGATCTCAACAGATCACAACCAAAGGTTTATGTTTATATTTAATATTGCATCTTTTAACAGGAGGCTTCCCAGCTGCTAACCATCTTACAGGGGTTGCAGCCTCCTCTGAAACTGGACGGGAAAACAATTGGGGTGGATTATGCTAAGAGTGCTCGAAAGTAAGTCATTTCTGTAATGTTGGTGTATTGGGTGTATTCATGCTATTTGTTTGATTTGTTTCTCACTAAGAAGTATTTTTTTTTTCCCTCTCCACCAGGGACCTCTTACTACCTGATGGGAATCGTGTCAGTGCTTTTTCTGTGGCCAGCACGGCCATAGCAGCAGCACAGTGGTCATCGGCTCAGGTCGGCCCATTTCCCCAAACCTCTTGTTTAGTTTCTCACTGTCAAGGACATAAATTGATGATTTATTTTCCACTTTACAGCCTCAGCAGACCATGGATGGGATGTCAGAGTATGCTTGTCTGCAAGAAGGATATGCTCCTCTCCCACAGGTTGTTGTGCTTGACAAATGAAACTAGATCTAATTTAGATATGTAAAATATTTCAAGACTTAAAGTTATGTAAAAGAATCAATAATGTTACAACTGATGGCCCTGTATTTTTTTCAAGTCACACTTAAACTTGTGGATGTTTTATAGGACTACCATACCTATTATCAGCCAGGAGCAGTAGCCACCACTTGTCAAGGGAATGGAATCCTGGGAGGTAAATGTTTTTTTTTTTTTTTCATTAGATCATACATGTAGAGTAGTGATTTTCTGTGGAGTAGGCCAGCGGCCCTGAGCTGTACTGGTGTTAGCCACAGGCTAAGAGATCATATCTTCTCCCACATCACTGGTTCATTTGGGGACTGTCAATAGACTTTGGACGCTCTGGATTTAAATTAAAAAAAACTTTCTCACCCATTTATGCAGAGTGAATGCCAAATCATTATTTTAGACCAGAAATCATAGGAACACTTGCCATTTTTGATATTAATGTATTGTTTTTCAGTAACTTTTCTACTCAAAATTATTATATTTTTCTCCCCAATAACTACGTAATTTTACTGCCTGACACAGAACTGATGTCTAATCATCATACTTGACTTTGTCAGCAGTGTTTTCTCCCAGTTGTAATGCATTTATTTTTTTAATCAACTTTTATAAGGGAGAAAATTGCTTTCATTTCATATTAAAAATAAATCATGAATTTATTCTCAGTCCTTGCTAAGAGTGGAACTGTTCACTTTAGTTCTCTTGGTGATGTCACATCCCTGGCTAAGCCAATAGCAAAAATGAGACATAATTAAGCCATTTCCCATTTTTGACACGAGGGGGCGCCAAATATACGTTTGTTTTGTTCGTTTCTTTTTAAAAAAAAAAAAGGTTAGTAAATGGTTAAAAAAATGCCTTGGACATCTAGACAGATTGCTAAATGTTTTCAGCATCTCATGAGATTTTATAGGCGTGGGGGGTGAAACGTGATAAAGCTGGGAAGAAACTAGATTTCATTTTAATGTGTCGGGCTTAATGCTCTTTTTTTTTTTTTTTTTTTTTTTTTTTTTTATAATTAATAATTTGAATTTCTTTGTTAATATAGCTGCTCCAGGTGTAAAGCTCGTTCCTGCTGCTGTTGTTATATCCCAGAGTCCACAAATCTATCAACCACATATCATTGCACAGCCTGCTGTACAGGTAGTTAAGCCATTTGTAATGTATTGCATTAAATTGAAGAAAAACAAGATGTCATCTAAATAACTTAAACACTACCTCTATGTGTTGACTCTTGCCCAACAGCTGGATGGAAAAGCCCAGGTAGGACTTGCAGCTGTTGAGTCTGTGGCTGTGCCTGCTTTAGCTGGAGCTGCTGCCTCAGTATGTGGGACCAGTGCCATACCAGCCTCTGGAACATCACTGGAAACCACCAGTGGTAGGGAAAAATTATGTTGTAATATGTATTTTGTTGTGATGCCAAATGTTTGTATTTTATTTTTGTTAGCAACACCTAGAGACTGAAATGCTTTGAAAATATAGTTTGAGAACTTTTTATTTTTTAAAGGGATTTTAAAGGAAGATTTGTACATGTATATCAGCTCATTGTGGTATGACTTGACTTTTTAGAAGGATGAAAAGGGAATTCTTAAAGTACAATTTCAGTTCAGTTTTAGCTTACTTGAGCTGATTCAGTTTGTATTCTTTAAAAAACTCCCATAAAGCTTCTTCATTGATATGTTTATAGCCTTCCTGCAGGTAGAATAATTAACTTTATCAGCAGGATTTCACTTTTAAAAAATGGCTCAATGGAACAGAGTTTACAATTTATGCAACCCGTAGCTTTTTATCAGTTGGTGCAGTCATCAGTTCACCGCCTCTTCTTTCTCAACCCGGGTGAACCTTGACACATCATAGAATGTACAGTTACCTTTCAAAAGGCTTTTTGTACTTTTTATTCTACCTCTGACTTTGCATCATTAATACTGCGGCTGCAAACAGAGACCAGCCTCCGATTAGGGTAGATTAAGCTGAAACATTAATAGTTAAATCTGGTGGTTTCATGAACGACTTGTACATCAATACTTACTAATAATAACTTTTTTTTTATGTGTATCACAGGATTTTGATTACAGTGGTTGACATGTTTTCTCAATTAACAGCTCATGTTCCTGATACATCAACCTATCAATATGATGAATCCTCCGGCTATTATTATGATCCTCAGACTGGCCTTTATTATGACCCAAATTCACAAGTAGGTAACACCCAGTCAGTTATGTGTCACTTATTCTGGGGAGATTAGATATTGTTTTGATTATATATGTGTCTGCTTTTTTCTCTCTTTCTATTCTTCTTTAGTATTATTACAATACTCAGACTCAGCAGTACCTCTACTGGGATAGTGAGAAACAGACATATGTACCGGCCCCTGGCAACACAAACCCTGGACAGAACGATAAAGCAAATGGGTCAGCAGGAGGCAACAAGGAGCCTAAAGAGAAAAAAGAGAAGCCTAAGAGCAAGACTGCACAGCAGGTATTTTTTAGACATTAGAACATTGTTTCTGTTTATCTTCATATGCTTTATTTACCTTGATGTTCGAATTCATTTTTCAGATTGCTAAAGACATGGAAAGATGGGCTAAAAGTCTCAATAAGCAGAAAGAAAACTTCAAAAGTAGCTTCCAGCCTATTAGTCAAGAAGATAGGAAGGAGGCTGCAGCTGCTGATGCTGGATACACCTTGTTTGAAAAGAAGGTATCTCATAAAATTAAACTGACAAACATTTGGTACTTCAACTGTGAGATCTTTGGATGTATTTAAGTATGGCTTGTTATTTTTCAGCAGGGCGGTCTAGACAGGCTTATGCAGGAGGTGGCAAGGTACGCCGAAGAGGAAGAACTTCCTATAAGCTCTGCTAATTCTTCAAAGGTATTTTCTCTTTCTGGAGTTTTGTAAGGCAAAGCTTTTCCAGAGTATTAGCTGTTTTATGGTTGCTTGAGTATGGCTCCTGTGTTTGTGGTTTAGTGTGGCCTGGTGGCAGCTTACAGTGGAGACAGCGACCCTGAGGAAGGAGGAGGGGGAGCAGGAGGAGAAACTGATGGTGGTGACATGAGTCAGGACAAGCTCACAGACTGGAAAAAGATGGCCTGTCTACTGTGTAGGAGACAGTTTCCTAACAAAGAAGGTTTGATGAGACATCAGCAGCTCTCTGACCTTCACAAGGTATCATCGTGATATATTGTCTTATCACCAGTTTGTTCCAGGTTTTGACCATCAAATAAGAAAAAGGTTCTGGTCTTTTTTTTTTTTAGAAAAACCTTGAAGTTCTCCGCAGATCCAAAATGAGTGAAGCTGAGTTAGAAGAGTTGGAAAGGAAAGAAACAGAGGTTGGAGAAAACGCTCATCTACGTGTTTATCTTAGTTTGACCTTTTTGTTTGATTTTTAAATTGGATTTGTTTTCTTTTTCATCAGCAAAAATACAGGGACAGAGCAGCAGAGAGGAGAGAAAAATACGGCATCCCGGAACCACCAGTGCCTAAAAAAAAGAAGTTTAGCCAGCCAGCGGCAGCCGTGTAAGACCACTGTTCTGTTTTTTTAAGCATTTTTTTTTTGTTTAGGTGTTTTTAATTCATTCTGTTTTATTTATTTATTTTTTATTAATTCTTTGGGGTTTTTTTCGCTCAGGAACTATGAACAGCCAACTAAAGACGGCCTTACCAGTGATAATATCGGAAACAAGATGCTGCAGGCCATGGGCTGGAAGGAGGGGAAAGGTCTGGGTCGCAACCAGCAGGGAATAACCGCTCCAATTGAGGTATGTACAGTAAACCAGCTGATGTCTGGCATCGTCTAGCAAAGCATTATACACTTCAGTCGCTATTCATACAGCTAAAATAAACTCTCTCCACAGGCACAGTTGCGAACAAAAGGAGCCGGACTTGGCACCAAGGGCACCAACTACACCCTTTCTGCTTCAGATACCTACAAAGATGCCGTCCGGAAAGCCATGTTTGCCCGATTCACAGAGTTAGAATGAGACATTTTCCAACTAGACTGTATTGTTGTGAAAACTTTCGCCGATGACAAGATGGACTCTTTTTCACATTCAGTAAAATTCAAAATGGTTGTACTTCCTGTCACAATACGGACCACAGAATAAATTTGTTGATGGAACCTGAGGTTGTAAATTATATAATTTATATATTGTACATATATGTTGTGACTTCTTTGTTTTACATAACTGATTTTCATTTTATGTGGTCAAACTTTTGTCTCGGCATGTAATGACTGTACAGTTTATACAAGATCTTGTCAAAATGTAAAGAAAATAAAGGATGAGATTTAAGTTTGGAGCATTGTGTATTATAATGACTAATGAAAGTGGGTATAAAGTTAATTTTAGACTTAATCTTTGTCTATGAAGCCTACAGTACTTTAGTTCAGTGTTATGGCTCACAAAAAAGCCATTACCATATGTTTTTTTTTTTTTTACAGAATTCTGTGAATACGTACTTAATTGACTTATTTAGGACTTTTAGTGGTATATTTACTAACCTAAGGAACCAACAGATGTGCCTTGTGGGGACAAAATGCTGGTCTCAATGAATAAGTAGCCCTTGAATGTTAACCTAGGTTAGAGAAATAGCGTAAATTAACATGGTATAAGGATTATACTGGTAATGGTTGGGATAAATGTCAGTGTTGGCCATATATGCCTAACACTGACATTGTACTGTGTATGTATGTATATATATATATATACATATTTATTTTTTTTTCTAGATTAAAGACTTGGTGACTGCATGTTCCTCTGCCAGTGTTCCTCATTTAAGCTGTGTACATTAAAATCCGATATATAAACCCGCTGTTTTCATGGACCCTTTTCCAAACTTTCTAAAATGAAAATATTCTGAATCTCACAGCCACCCTGGCAATGTGGATGTTATTTGCAGTACCAAGAGTACAGTTTTATTACTTTTAATTTATGGACAGAGTTCCTTATAGAGCTACAATATTGCAGAATACATCACATAGGGCCTGGAAAAACACTAATTTGAACCATTTTATTAACTTTATTTTGTTAGGATTATTCTATTGTCCTTCATAAAGTAATAATCGCAAGGTGAATCAAAAATGGTAAAAAAAAATCTGTTGTGTTTTAAAATCAACTCTGCTGAGTTAAACATGTTGAACCAGCTTTCAATGCCTGAGTCTTAAGGGGAATGTCTCTGAGCTTTGAACAGTGAGACAAAAGGCCACATTAGGCCAATCTGAGGAGGTTTTTGGATGAAAATTGACTGGCACAGTTTTGCAACATATTTTTAAGTTTAGGCTTTGATTTGAAGAGGCCGTTCTACACATACATTTGTTTTATTTTACCATTTAATTGTTGTTATAGTTGTTTATGGTTACCCTGTTGAAAGTTAGACCAGCATTACCCTGTATTAAGCTCATCCAGTTTACCATCAAAACTAAATGGGTTATTTGTTACCACAGGAGGAAAGCACCATGTGTGACTATAAGGGAGTTGTCTTGAATTTCTAGAATTGCACTGCTTAATATGGTTTCATATTGAAATAGCCCAGCTAGCTGGATTCTAGTTACTCCATTTTTGCATAAGTTTCTTTTTTTTTTTTTTCATTATTTTTTTGTCTGTTCTGTCGAATGGTGCACAACTGGAAGTATTTATCTCTTTCTTTTTCCTTTTCAGAATTCTGTTATGATGTGTAACCATAGCAACAATAGCCAGCATCTTTTTTTTTTTACAGCTGGGAAAAGCTCATTAACATTTCTAAAGCTGAAATAAAACTAACTACCTTCGCAAGTACCAGCTGAACATAAAAAAAAAGCCCAGAGGATGTAGAGCAAGAGCAAGGAAAAGAGGGAGGAGCAGGAAATTCAAGTGATCTCCGCCATCAATCATTATGAGCAATGTGAGATCTTTAGGAAACAAGTTAGAAGAAATTCAAGCCCTATCAATGACCCAGCCAGAATATTAACAATTCAGAATTTCGTGTTTTACTAAAACATTATTCTAGGATCAGTGACTCCACCGACTCTACCAGGATTTCTGACCATAATAATATTATGGACAACTGTGAGTATCCTCTTCATCAGACTGGACAACATCAATTCTTCTCCATATCTGTTGCAAGAAAGCCTGGTACAAAAGATTCTTTCTGACAACAGATGTCAATGTATACAAATTGTTGAAAAAAGCAGGTGAGTTACTACAACATTTAATTTTCGATTGGGCTTGATGCAATTGAAATTAATGACTGAACCGAACAGATTAGATGAGCATGTGCATCTTTGTTTTGCAACACATGTGCCACTAGGTTGTATTTTTTTTAAGTAAAGATGGCCAAATACAACCTCATGTCATGTTTTGAAAAAATATTTTCTTTGCTTTTAACAGATATACTCTACCTTATGTCTATCTGTCACATAAAACCACAATACCATACATTTAGGTTTATAATTAGAGTCGGACAAAAAGAAATAAATATTAAGGGATTTCAATAACTTAGCGATTCTGGTGAGAATAAGCAAGAAATGTGTTGTCCAAAAGAGTCTTCTTATTTTAGTCTAAACAAGCGAAAGCAAAACCTGTAGACGTGCTGTCCTTAAGATAAATTAAGCAACAAAGATTCCTTTGGCAGTCCATCCTGTCCGTCCAGTTAAAGGCAGTTAAAAACAACAAGCACAAAAATGTCAAAACCCGGCAGATCACATATTTTACAATACATACATGTTTAGCACAGACTGGCATACATGGTTTAGAGCAGAGGTCTTCAAAGTTTTCCAGGCCAAGGACCCCAAAACTGATGGCGAGATGGAACCCCCTAATTATATATATGGTATGAAATTGTGTTATATCAAACTGGTCCTATAGTCACTCTATTACATATAGAGTAATGTAACGAAAGTAATTTCACCCTGGGATTATTCAAGTATTTCTGATTCTGATTCCTGGTTGATGGGACAGGTGTGAATGAAACGGTGCCCAGCTTGAAAGAGCTCCAGTGTGTCGCTGAATGTGTGCATTGATGAGTGAAAGACATCGTCTGCCTCCATTTATCTGTTTGCTACAATCTGTTAATGTGTATATAAAGACATTTCAATCATGAGAAAATCTGCAGGGGGGGAATATAAAAACAAAAGTCTAATAAACCAAACTTTTGCGACACCCATGCAGTACTCCGGTGAGGTCCGCGGGGGTACTGCATAACCCTAACCCGTGTTGAAGAAATCCGGTTTAAAGTATCATCCATTCATTCATCCATTTTCCATCGAGCTTTATCACTGCTGGTGTCACGAGGGGTGCTGGTGCCTATCTCCAGCTGTCAATGGGCAAGAGGCGGGGTCACCCTGGACAGGTCGCCAGTCCACTGCAGGGCAACACAGAGGCAAACAAAACAAACAACCATTCACCCACACGCTCACACCTAAGGAGAATTTAGATATGCTAATTAACCAAACAGTCATGGTTTTGGACTGTGGGAGGAAAACCGGAGTAACCAGAGAGAACCCACAGATGCACAGGGAGAACATGCAAACTCTATGCAGAAAGAAATCAGTACCTTTTTGCTGCAAGGCAGCGGTGGTACCCACTATATCACTGTGCAGCCCCCGTTTAAAGTAACATCTCTTTTAGAAATAAAATTAAAATCAAGCAGGTTGAAATAGAAAACTAAGATATTTTTTCTCCTCTACAAATGAAGCAGCGTCAGTAATCAGAAGTCAGAGGTGATTACATGTGAGAGGAATGTATGCTCTAATCTTTCAGCCCGCCACATTTAACCAGAATAACTAGGGTATAGAGGAGTTATTTGATTTTACTTTTCTAACATTTGTTTTTACAGAAGTATATTTGGAAAATATGTGCTGAGAATTTGTTGTAATTGAAAGTTCCGAGCAACTAATTTAATGATTAGATATTGTAATTAGTTTGATTTGGTTTTAAACATGTGAAGAAAAAACACTGCAGATGTATATATAGATGTTAATATAAATGATAATAAAATGTTTTTGCTAACCTAGTAAAGGTAACTCATATGTTGTACATCTGGAATTGAAAGCTGATATAATAAAGTGCAAAAAGTAAAGTCATAATTAACAAAACATGGAAGCTTGAAAACATTTTTCTATGTCAATAATCCTTATCTTGTGTTTACCATACAGTAGCTGAATTTCGGAAATAAACTACTACTACATGTATTTGAACTACTTTCTGTAGTCTTAATGAAAGTCAAAAACAGAATTTTTACTTGGCATAATATTTTTTTGCTCGATTCAGCAATCTAGATAAAATATTGAGACATCTTTTATATTTTTGATGCATAAATCTCTCCTTTATTTTTTCCCATCCACTGTATAGATCTGGATGCACCGTCTATACTTGATGCACCTTTTTCCTCCTTTGTGTTCCTTCTGTTTGTCTATAAGAGCCGACGTCACAAGTGAATTGTCTCCATTAAATTTCTACATTGTATTCAATTCTATTCATTGATTTGATTGAAATTGTCATTTAAATAAATAATTATTTATCTAAAAATGATTTCAGTTTTGAGACTGCAAGAGATAGGCACCGCCTCCACTGCAACTGCAACTTTACAGATAAAGTTTACTTACTTACATAGGGTAACCACCTGATGACGGTCCACACAGGAACATGCAAACTGAATGCAGCATTAACCTAGAAAAGGATTCAACACACTTCTGCTAACTTGGCTTAGAGCCTTAATGGACTATATTAGCTCTGCTATATGTTATTCATTATCATACGAAATAAGTATTTAAAAGCAATTTAAGAATTTAGGGCATTATGTATTGATATTCTATTTAGATTATTTGAAATGTATATAACTTTTATAGATAATTGTTGTGTTTACTTTTAGCCTTCTGTGTAAAGTCTGTAGAGGCTGTAGGGATTTTTTTTTTTTTTTCAGAAAAAAATATTTGAATTCTGCTCTGTTTATTTCACTGATCTTATTTTGTTCAGTGCGGACAAAGTTAAAAACATGAATAATTTAGGTAATAAGTTACTTTAGTTTATAAGAAAATATAGGATAATAAACAGATAATAAAATGTTGTGGTTATTTGAGTAGTCGCTCCAAGCTAAATACTTTATCTTGATTTTCTCGTATCTGTCATTCCAAGTTAAGGTAACAAGTGAGTAAAATGATCCTTTTGGCTGTTTGCCTGCCATAAGTTAAGGTTAACCTTCTGACCTCAGAAATAACCATCTATTGTTCACCCATGACTTAGCAGAGGAAATCCCTCTGCATTCCACAGAAAGTCATCTTAAAAGCAGCTCACAAGTTTAACTTCTTGCAGAGAGCATTCTTAAAGAGAGGAGTTTATCAACTTTGAGCGCGCTTTTAGCGCACCTTTACCCTGCCAGGAATAGATACGCCAATTTCAGGCTAAAGTTGCAAAAGTGTGAATTTCTCAATTCATAGAACCGGGCTGTCTTGGTTTCATTTATTCTGAAGAATACAGTCGTATCAGCTTCTTTTCCAAAAGTGTTGAAACCTTACCTCCGAGCGGCTTCTCAGGCGCGCAGTGGGTGGGATGGATAGGAGGAGGTGGGGGTGCGCACACAGGAGGCGGACCTATGCTGCGACCCCCACAGCCTTGCTTCAACATGGTTTTACTATACCGACCATTTCCCAAAGCACACTTTCTAGCCGCCGCGCAGGAGACAGAATAAACGCCTGTGCGTAAAAACTGCCCCTCACCAGGAAAACATTAAAGATAAAAGAAACGGAAACAGCTCCTTATAATATCCTGGAACATCATTTGGAATTGGGCAGGAATCTTCTAAGAACAGCATTTGGTAAGCTTCAATAAATCTGATTTCAAAACGTCTTACTAAATGAAAAGAGACTTGATTCAAATGTTTATGAGTAGCCGCTTATACTTTATATTTAAGGCTTGTTGAGTATGTTTTAAACAGAGCAGGAACATGCGTTTCTCTCAGCTGTGAGAGACGGTAATAATCTAAGTAGAAAAAAGGTGAAAAATGGACTGCTGAAATGACAGCAGGATCATTTTCTCTTGATTTTTTTTTGGAGGTGATCTATAGGAACACATTTGGCCCGTGCGCCACGCTGATATGTCAGGACCATGTGGCGCTTCAAGTGACAAACTGCTGGTGTCCATCTTTTGTTCGCTTTGGACATTCATTCTTCCTGAGGCTTCTTAGTCAAAAACCTTCTGAAATGTGTTTATTTTAAGCAGCAGGAGCGCTTAAATGGGACATGTAAACGTATGTGTCCAGTGTGTTAATGTGTATCTTCCAGTTTGGGTTTTGTAGAACCAGATTTCTGTTCAACTTCGACATGTTGTGACGTCACTTTCTAGGATGAGACGTTTTCCAGCTTTACGCATTTTTAAAATCTACTTTGCTCCATTATTCAGAATGACAGGACTACTATCCTAGATAATGAGTGAGATATGATTCATGTTTTCTATTCAGGAGCAAAACAAACACGATTATAAACCGCTGAGTCAATTTAAAGCTCCTCTCCTTTGTTATTGTTGACTAAACATAGCCATGTGGAGGAAGAGGCAGAAAGGGAAAGAGCGCCCTGTGTGGGAGGTTCATGGTTCACGTTTTCACTTATAGATCCTATTTCTTTCTGTTCATTTGCTTTTATTGTGTGTCTGATATAGGGAAGCCATGGTGCTCAGACTGAGGTGTAATTCCATTTGGTGGTAGATGCCAGATCCTTCGCTTCTCAAAAAAAAACTTTGCCACACAAAAAAATGGCATTGCAAATTTGAATGTGTTAACTGTGATTTAGAGTACACTACAAAGTGTACACCCTTTGAACGTTTATACATTTCGTCACATTACATTTAGAAGCGTTATTGTATTTTAGTTGTATTTTAAATAACATACCGGCACCCATAAAGTAGTATTTATTTTTTTTAGGTCCAAGGAAAACAAATTAAGGTGCTGCACCTTTATTTACCTTGACTCCACCATCACCAACAATGCTGACCTTAAGCTGCAGGCAAAGTCTAGCAGCTGCAACTATCTGGTCTCTCTGGAAGTCTCTCTGGAACACTCACTCCTTCCACAAGGCAAAGCTGTTTATATTTAAAGTGGTGATACTCTCTGTTAACATTTACTTACCTGCATTTTGGCCATGGAAAAGACAGAGTCAATGATTTTGCCAGCAGGGCTTCCAGAACTCTAAATGCACCTACTAAACTTAAGCATCTTGGCTCTTTGTCACATCATTGGCCAACCAAGCAGTAGAGTGTTAAACATTTTAAAAGAGGAAATGCAACAGCTGGTATTTAACATGAAGGACACAGAGGACTTGGCTTACAACTGGCATGGCTGGTGATCTCTGGGGTAGCTGATAAGTTCTTTAATAACAAGCAATAGCCATCTTAAAGGTATTGTGGAGGATTTTTGCACATGCACAACCCTGTACCCGTCGCTGAGAGGGAACGCATATTAAATGCATGCGAGAGCATGCACGAGCCCATTTCTCCTTGTGCACGCTATTAACAGTTGCTGTTCTCATAGCTCATACAAGCTTATTGTGTGAACTTCCGCCCTACCCCTAAATCGTTCAATCATTAAATAGGGACTATATGGTGGACTTTATAGCAAACTCAGTTAACTGACCGTTCGGACAGATGATCACTGCTCTTTGCTTCCCATTGGTCACATAACTCCTCCTCCACTTTGGTGCCTGCGCCATCTTTGTTATTAGTCGCCTCTGTCAGGTAGCGACAGCCTATGGCGACAGAGTGCCGCTGTGACAGCAAATCGCATAGTGCTTTGCGAGGAGAGCTCTCCATGCAAAGCATTTCAGGATATATCTGCCTCTTCTGAGGCCTTTCTTTTCAGCTGTTTCTCAGTATGTGTACTTTTGCATTCTCATGTGCTCTTGTACTCGAAAAAACGTCATCAGTCTCAGCCCTACTGTTCCAATTCACAAGGACAAGAAAACCGAGAACAGACAAACTCCCCGGATGTTGTTCTCGCCCCTCCCTCTTTACCCAGCATGCATCAGAGCAGACTTGTACGTTCTCGAGATTGACAGCTGTCCCAGCATGCACCATGGCGGCAGGTTCCATTGGAGCGCTTACAGAGCTCAGACTATTAAGTTAGACATTCTCTTTTGTGTTGCGATTATTCTATAAAAGGACATTTTAAGATCACTTAAGGCAAGAATGTTATACTATATGGCCTATTTACTGATTTAGTGCACAATAAAAAAAAAGTTCTGATGTTGAGAGGACCAAGTCAACCAGCGGACCTGGTTAACCGCAGCCAGGGCTAACATGAGCCCATCTGCAGCAGCCCTCTCTCTGCATAGCAGTGTGGGAAGGACCGCTGGCTCTGATGGTGATTTTTTGTTTTTTTTTGGCAAAACGTTAATTTGTTTGTGTTTATCTGACAGTGTTATTTATTATTCCCCCACTAAATGAAAAAAGTAAGAATTGATTAATATTTAGGACTATTGATAACAGGAGGGGAAATGCAGCTCCAGACGAGCTGAGCGTGTGGTGACGTCAAGAGTAAGCTTATGTTTCAATTGACCCAGATTTATGCTGCTTATGCTGCTCCCATTCTCCCCAACACTTTCCTGTCTTCTTCCCAAGAACGTACTTGGCGAGGATACAAGTCCGTACTCGCGTTCTTGTTAAATGAGAAACCACCTTCTTCTCATACACTTCGTAGACACTTTTTGTCTTGCGACCCTCTGCCATTTTCAAAGAACCTCGGTGAGAAAGGTTAGCTCCAATGATTGTCTGAAACCATAGCTCACCACTGATATACGCCTGAAAGTGCGCATGTGCAGAAAAAGATAGCTAACAGGACGAGCATGCAGGACAGCCTTACATAAACATATCACCAGAATGATTGACAATTAGGATTATCACTTATTAAAATGATTCAACCGGAAATAAAAGATTGTCCCCAATACCTTTAAGCAAAAACAGGACTTTGCTACACAAAAGCCTGATTAGTAGCAGTCGAGGGAAAACAGTAGCCTCATGATTTTCAATTTTCAAATAACTGTAAAATGTGATACACCTGTAAATTCCTTTCCCTTTACTCAGACATCCACATGTTCTTAAATATTACATCTACATGAATAGGTATACCACTGATTTATTAGATACAAATCATAAGAAGTGCTAATAAATAGTTAATACCAGCAACCAGGATCTTTATACACATAGTGATATTCTTTACTGAACTTGGGGCTGCTTCCAATTTTCCAGAATTCCAACTTAGTCATTCACTCTTCTTGATTTCATTGGCACATTCTGTCTCTGCATATTTAAAGCTGCTAGAGACATACAACTTAATACTTAAATCTGTAACTGCAACAAAAAGGAATAATAATTTGTGCTCATTTTCTAGATTTGAAAGTAGTAATCATAAAGAAAAATACTTTTCCTTCAGCATATCAATTAAGTACTACATTGTGTTGATCTGTCTGCATATAAAAATGGGTTTAACTACTTTCATAAATACAGATACACCTATCCAGTATTGAGTGGATATTGGCTCTGATATTGGTTTTAATATTACCTAAGTAGCTGGATCGGATATCGGTGATTTTAATATCAGATATTGGAGATTCAATCCAGTTCACTTTACATGGATCTATTAAGTATTTCTTTTTTTGTTACTTTTTTTTAAAAACAATGTTTATTTCAAGGCTAAAGCCTTCACTATATGTAGCCAAGAAATATTAATCAGCAGCTGATGGTGTATAATCCAGGTCCAGAAAGTAAAAACCCTCCTTTTTTTTTGCTTCATCCTGTTCTTTTCCCCAGGTGATTAGCTTCTCAGGTGATTAGTCTGTGTTGTGGAGCTGGAAATGCAAATGGTTGGAACTGATCTCTGTGCAGGCTTTTTACTTTCTGGACCTGGATTACCCACCACTGGAATTGGATCTGTATCAAACATCGGCTGAGGTATTGGTTTCGGGAAAAAATTGGATTGGTGCGCAGTAGTAAAGTCAACCTGAATGAAAATAGAAATTATAATCATAACTTTAGTGGTTGTTCAGCTTTATTGTCCTTTTCTCTTGGTGAAATAGAAAACTATTTTTTTGTCACTCCAGGAGATGAAATTAAATGATTTGACCTTTATTACTCACACTCTCTCTAGGTTGTTTACGAAATATGACCATTTTTTCAATTGCATTATCATCAGATATTGATCACAGCTATCTTAAGCAATTAATTTAACAAGTTCAAGGTTGCAAGCAATTTTGCATTTGCTGTCGTTTTGAACTGCTTTTTGATGACATGTTATGTTGGTTGAAGCCTTTTAAACCCTAAACAGTGGTAGGTTGAATGACAAATAGCGTAATCAAAACTTTACTTTATTTGCGAAATATTGATAATAAAAAAGTGGCTTTCAGGCCTGGTAATGTGGTTATATTCAGTATATTCTAAATTACATTTATTATGTTGGAGATTTAGTGTCATTTTATAATATTTTCCTGTTCTACTAGAACACTTTTTTCAAAAACGTTTTGGTATAGTGGCAAACTTAGATGTTTTAACAGCCTTATGACTCCAACAAGAAAAAAGCTGTTGCAATTGCATTTCTTGTAGTCCACATGGCAGGGAATGAGGTCCATAACCTCCACCTGCTCAATTGTGGGCGTCGACATGACATCACAGCAAAGCCAAACTGGTAAAACAAACATTGTGAAAGAATTTTCATTGCAGACTAAGAGATAAAGTTTTATCTCCTGCTTATTCCAGGTCCTGTGTTAAACCCCTTTTAATAGTCTTCAGTGTTGGATTGATCAGAGCTCGATAGAAACAGATAGACCCTTGTAC